GTCTGGCGCTTCCCCTATAGAGCCTACACCAATGGAGGAGGTATGGGCCTCATGCTGTTGAGGGCTATCAGGGGTGACCGGCCAAGGCTCAGGGTAGAATGAGGTAGAATGTGGTCTCAGCCACTGACTGCTGGAGACCTTGGCCTGGGAGGGGGACTTTACTCTGCCCTGTCCCTTTCCATCATCTATGCCCCTCTCTCATCCCTCCCATGCCCAGGATGGATACCCACTTTGCTGTCTTCCTGAGGCTCAGTACCCACTGGGCCTTGAATGATGGGCAGAGGGAGCTGCCTGGGCTTCCTGATAAAGGCCTGTGTCTGCCTGTAAATAATCAACCTGCTTTTGATATTCTTCCCATCCCTTCCCCCTCCCCTCTCCTCCTCCAGAGTCCTTCTCTGTCAATCATTCCCCCTCTCAAATCTCCAACATTTCTTCCTCTCCTGGTTCCTTCCACTCAAAATGCAAACACAGTCTCTCCTAGATTACAAAAAAAAAAAAAAAAAAAAAAAAAATCCTTTCTGCCCCTGCTTCTCCATCACATTACTCTTCTAACTCTCATTAACAATAGCCAAGTTTGCGCCATTCTCCTCTGCCAGGTCCCTGGGCTAAGCGCCTGTCTTATTTAACCCTGATGACAACCCTCCCAGAGGCTGGGGATATAGCTCCGTTGGTAGAGTGCTTGCCTCGCATGCAAAGGCTTTGGGTCCAATCCCCAGCACCACAAAAACGAAACAAAACAAACAAACAAAAAAACCCTTCTGGGTAGGCACCATGGAAATGATGAGGCTGTTGGGAGCTGGAGAGGCCAGACTCTTTGCCCAAGGTCCCACAGTAGCAGACCCCATAGTCCAACTCGAGACTGTTTTCTCCAGACCTAGCTCCCACTAGGTCTCTGTATTGCCAACAATCTCTGCCAGTCCTACTTTTAAAGCCAGGCTTGGTAACCCATGCCCCAAATTTCGGTGACTTAGGAGACTGAAGCCACAAGTTTGAGGCCAGCCTCAGCAACTTAGCAAGGCCCTAAGCAATTTAGTAAGACCCTGTCTTGGAAAAAAATAAAAAGCATTGGGTATAGGGCTCAGTGGTTAAGCACCCCTAGTTTAATTCCCAATACCAAAAAAAGAAAGTTTTTTGATATAAAATGATAAAAATTCACATAAAACTAGATGAACAAAGCAAAGATACATTTCTGTGTCTAGGAATGTGTGCCTGGAGGGGCCTCCCAAACTCCTGGAATTCCGGCATCTGCAGTTGCCCCTCTACTCTCCTGTTTCCTGCTCTTTCTCTCTGCATGCTGACCTCATTTTTTCCTGAGACAGGCTTCCTCCCTGTGGTTGGGGGAGCTGCGGTGGAGACATCTCTGGAATGACTCTGAAGCTCCTCGGCCAGGTTTAGCCACCCCAGAGCTTTCCAGAACTGCTCTGTCTGAATGAGTCTCTACAACATTACAGAGAAGATCTCTGATGTCCCCGGCTTGGGAAATGTGCCCACAGTGGGGCGGGAGGGAGGGCAGAGGCGCTGGCTGGTGTGACGGCAGCTCTTCCAGAGCCATATGGTGGTGGGCGGTTCTCTGAAGGAGAAAGCTGCCTATATGAGAAGAAAAGGGAAAGGATGTTGGCCCACGAAACCACAGGTGGCAGCCACGAGTGTCTGAGGTGGGGTGGAGGAGAGGGGACTGGAGGACTGGGGCCAGATTCCGCAGAGCATTGACTTCTGCCGTGAGGAGTTCACACTTATTCTATAGAAAATCCCTTCATCCCCTGGTTCATTCTCAAGTGTCTGCTCCCGTCAGCCCTGTTCCGGGCACCGGGTGCTCTCAGTGGCCTGGGATGAAGAGACAACAGCCCTGCGAGTGCACAGTCCCAATGCACAGGAGCAGTGCTGCGTGCACCAGCCGGTGGTGTCTGACCACGGGGGCGTTGTGGGTGGCTAGAGCTGGGCACGGGGGGCGCTGACCCACAGAGCCCCTCCAACCTTCCTCCTTGCAGGTGCCTTCCTGGTGCCCTACTTCCTCATGCTGGCCATCTGCGGCATCCCCCTCTTCTTCCTGGAGCTCTCCCTTGGTCAGTTCTCCAGCCTGGGACCCCTGGCCGTCTGGAAAATCAGCCCCCTCTTCAAAGGTGAGGCCTCCGTGGTCCCTGGGCTGGGCCTCTGGAGGCGGGGAGGTTGCTCTACTGCACCCACTAAGCTCCAGGCAGGGGGACGTGAAGCCCTGGGCAGTGACAGGTTCCCAGAGGGCCACTGCGCCTGGCTGCAGAGTTCTGCAGAGGGCGAGGCCCAGCGACCCAGCGGCCCCCCTCTGCCCCGCAGGTGCGGGCGCGGCCATGCTGCTCATCGTGGGCCTGGTGGCCATCTACTACAACATGATCATCGCCTACGTCCTCTTCTACCTCTTCGCCTCCCTCACCAGCACCCTGCCCTGGGAGCACTGTGGCAACTGGTGGAACACAGGCCGCTGCCTGGAGCACCGGGGCGCCAAGGAGGGCAACGGGGCGCTGCCCCTCAACCTCACCAGCACCGTCAGCCCCAGCGAGGAGTACTGGAGGTCAGGCAGCCCCGCCTGGCCACGGGCCCAGGGTCCCCTACACCGTGCAGGGCAGCCGAAGAGAGGGTGGGGACACAGCAGCACCCCCAAGGGGCTCAGTGTCATCTCAAAGGCAGAGTCCAGGTGCTAGGGTGGGAGGACTCTGGCCTCTAATGCCAGCCCTTCACCTGCCGGCTGTGTGACCTGGAGCAATCTGCTTGGTGCCCGTCGCTTTGTCTTTAGAATGAAGGCAATGATAGTAGGTATTTCCGAGGCCGTTGCATGTAAATCAGGCAGTCCAGTCTGGTGGGTAGTAAAGGCTCAGTAAAAGCTCGCTGGTGATAATGATGGTGTTGGTGATGACAGTAACAGTGACACTCTGGAGTCTGTTTCCTCCTTTGTGACAGTGATAATAGGATGCTAACCACTCATGTACTCATTCATTTTTAATAAGTATTTATTGGGCACCTGTTACATCAAAGGGCAAAAAGCATACACAGTAAAGAGCATGTCTGATTAGTCGTAGAGGAGAGTTGGGTCTATAATGGAGCAGGACAGCTGTGAGATTCAAACAAGGAAATGGCGTAAAGCCACCAGCACAGGGCCAGGCACATTGTGAGCCCTGGGAGCCGTGGCCATCAGAAGGACATCGCTGCTTATCAGCCTGTCCCAGTGCCCCATTTTATAGCCGAGGAAGCAAGGCCCAGAGGCTTGCTCAATAATTAATGGCAGAGGCAGTATTGACACTCAGTACTTCTGATTCCTAATCTCGTGGAACATTCTAGAGTAGCCTGATCTCTGGGTAGGGGCCATTGGCTGGCCAGAGGTACCCCCATCCCTGCCTCTGCATGGAGCTGCTTTTAGGAATTTCTCCCAAATGGGCCTCATATCTTAAAATATGTCAGTCCCTAACATGGTCCATCTCTCTGTTCCATTTCGAGGCCTCCCAAAGTTCTGTGCCTGCTGAAGAGTGTTTCTGACCCGTAGGAAAGGACAAGCCAAAGAACTTGATGTGTCTCTGGAAGCTGCCAGGGGTCTCCATGGCAATGCCACGGCCCACTGTATCAGATGGGTGGGGGCGGGAGGCGGATGGCACTGAAGGGGGTTTAGTAAAAGGGCTCCACAGAGGGTCAGGGAATCCACAAGGAAACGTGGGGCACATGGAACAGGTGGACACCTGCCCGCCCTGAACTAAGGAGGCGAGGGGAGGGAATCAAGGGAAAAGGAGCCTTGGACGAGGGCTGCCCAGCAAGAACCATGGCTCAGAGGGACATAGGCACAGCTGGACTCTTGGATGGCACATGGTCATGTGCAAGTGTGTATAAACATGTGTGCAAATGTCCACACCCTCACCTCTCCACCATCAGCCTCCCGCTGTCACCTCCCCTCACCCAAACCCAAGTGGAAGTGGAAGAGGAAGGGAGCCTGATGTGGGGCCGGCAGAGGCCAGCCTCCTGGGACAGGCTGGTCAGGAAAGGATAGGGGGCTGGGAGGAGAGGCACGGGGCCTGGCACGGTGGACACAGCTTTGCCCCATGCTTGTAGAGTGTGGCAGGATGACAGAGGACGCTCTTTGTCTCCACAGCCGCTATGTCCTGCACATCCAGGGCAGCCAGGGCATCGGCAGTCCTGGGGAGATCCGCTGGAACCTCTGCCTCTGCCTGCTGCTGGCCTGGGTCATCGTCTTCCTCTGTATCCTCAAGGGTGTGAAGTCCTCGGGCAAGGTGAAGCCCGGGAGACCAGAGACCTGGGGCCAGGGCAGAGGTTCCCAGAGGCTGGGGAAAGGACAGGCTTCCCTGGGAAGAGGGGAGGGGTAGGTGTTGAGATGGGGACATTGCTGATGACAGATGGGAAGTGAGAGGGATCAGGGGAAGGCCACTTTGCCAGACCAGAAGCCTGCTGAGGGCAGCATCCACAGGGTTTTCAAGTTGACATCCTTACCCTGGGTTTGGCACTTTGGAGGGGCCCAGCAAGTTTGTTGAGTGCTCAGAGGGTGGGTATATGAATCAGGGCTCTTGGAGATGCCTGTGACCTGACCCCAGATGTTACACTCAGTTGGAGTCCAGAGGGTGTGCTTCAGGCACAGTTGGGTCCAGGGGTTTCACGAATATTTTCAGTAATTGGCTTTTCTGGTCTCCCAGCAATGCATTGCCCTGTGTGGTCTTCCTTTAGGCTTCAGGCTTTGTTCCTGAGGTTGCCCCAGCAGCTCTAGACTTAGACTTGACCTTCTCGGTGAACATTTCACCTTTTCCTCAGTATCTTGTAGAATTTAGTCTTGCTGGGTAGGCTGGGCTGTGCCCCAGTCCCTGAGCAGATCTCTGTGGCTGGGAGAGTGAGGTGCCTGTGCTGAGGATGGAGTCCACCCCACTAGTGCAAGTTGGGGTACCGTTACCTGAAGAAGGCAAACTAGATGCTGAGGGGACAAAGCCACAGGAGTCCACTGTAGGGAATGGAGGGGCAAGGAAGCCATTTTCGAAGAACTTGGAAACCTTCTGCCGCTCACTTGGTCATTTGTAAATTACAACTTGTCTCTCTGCTAAGTGCTGAGGGGTGCTGACCCCAAGAAACAGAGCTAATAAAAGAAGACAGGGCAGGAAGCATATAGAAAGAGAGGAGGGGTGCTGAAGGTCACAGCCAAGGCAGGGAGGGATGCTCTCTCACAGGGTTCAAGAAAGAAGTGGTTGGAGGGCTGGGAGAGGGAAGAGGAAGGGCAGAGGGGAGTTTGGGGGTGATGACCTCACAGAGCGGGTTTGCAGGGGCAAGGTGAAGTCCGGGAGAAGTCCGGGCACAGGCCAGGGTGAGCCGGCCACTCACCAGTGATGCTGGCCTGGACCAGGGGCAATAGTGGAGATGGACCTGGGGTGCACTTGGGGAGCAGGGTGACAGCACTTAGTTGATGGTTAGATGGAGGGTGGTAGGAGGGACGGAGGAGACACACACAGGACGATGGCTGGCTCCTGGCTTGTGCCACCTGAAGGTAGGGAAGGAGAGTGTCTCTGATGAGGATCTCAGGAAGAGGAGGGGTTGGGGGGTCCCCCACCTTCAGCTTCCCACTGGTCACTTCTCAGGTGGTGTATTTCACGGCCACATTCCCCTACCTCATCCTGCTCATGCTGCTGGTCCGCGGAGTGACCCTCCCTGGGGCCTGGAAGGGCATCCAGTTCTATCTCACCCCCCAGTTCCACCACCTGTTGTCTTCCAAGGTGAGGTTCTCGGGGCGGGATGCAGAGCAAGGGGTTGGACCTGAATGGAGGAGCGGAAAGAGGGCTCCGGGGAGTGGGGGAACCAAAGGCAGGAGACCTCCAAGTGGGGAGCTCCCAGCAGCAGGCACTGGGGCTGGTCTTTCCTATGTACTCGTGTCATTTATCATTCTTTAAAAAATCCTTTGAAGTAGACATTATTCTCCCCATTGTATGGATGAGGAAACTGGGGTCCACAGAATTAGTGACAAGCTTAAAGTGACATAGATAGAGAGTGACAGTGGGAATCTCAGCCCAGATCTGATGAACTCCATACAAGGAAGGCATTAGGAATAATGACAAGAACAACAGGGTACCAGCAGCTAACATTTATTATTTATTGGCCATGACAGTGCCTGACTGTGCCCTGGCATTGAGCTCTGGAGCAGTGGTGCAGTCCTTCCTGCCCTGGGATCAGCAATTCAGGGTGACGATGTGGCTTCCTGGGGCTAAACAGCTACTAATTGGGGAAGCTGGGACTCAGTGCAGGTCCCTCTGACTCTAGGCAGGAAGTCAAGGGTTACCTGGGCTTATTGTCAGATGAATCCACTGCAAACTACGTTAGGTGCTCCTTCCTTTACAACTGAACCAAGCTTAGAGGTGAGCTATATGCTAGGTGGGAAACCGAGGCCCCGAGAGGGGAAAGAAGCCCCGCACACCCCACAGTGGAAGTCGGAGCAGGGTCTTTCCTGGCCCATGTCGTGGGGCTGGCTCTTCCCCATGCCTGTCCCCCAGCCCAGCCCCGTCCCTTGCTTCTCTTCCTGGGCCTCTGCACACCGCTGTAAACCAGCCCCTTCTCTCTGCCCTTCACCTCTGTCCTTCGCCCACACAGGTGTGGATCGAAGCTGCTCTTCAGATATTCTACTCCCTGGGTGTGGGCTTCGGGGGTCTCCTCACCTTTGCCTCCTACAACACATTTCACCAGAACATCTATAGGTCAGTGCCTGCAGTTTCCCCGCAGCCTGGGGTCAAAGCAGGAAGGAGAGTGGCGGGCCAGGGAGGGCCTCAGGGGTAGAGGGTGTGGCCGGCTCACCCTGGCCTGTGCCCGGACTTCTCCTGGCAGAGACACCTTCATCGTCACTCTGGGCAATGCCATCACCAGCATCCTGGCTGGCTTCGCCATCTTCTCCGTGCTGGGCTATATGTCTCAGGAACTGGGTGTGCCTGTGGACCAAGTAGCCAAAGCAGGTGGGCAGGCTGCCAGGTGTAGTGTGAACGCACGTGTCGGCCACAGCTGGGGCTGGGCCAGGGAGCATACGTGTGGACCAGAGAGGTTGTGGATGGGTATGCTGTGTGTGTGTGTGTGTGTGCACGTTGCACAAATGTGCATGCAAATGAACATCTTTTGGTTGGTCTCTGGATGTCCAAGTGCAAAGGCATAGGTGTGCAAATGAGTGTACATTAATCTGTGTCAGGAGGTAAATGAGTTTTTGTAGGAGATTGTCTTATCTTTCCTGCCTTGTTTGTCCAGTTGAGTCATTTCCTGGGTGAGACGTCTGTGTGTAAGTGAATCAGAGTGAGGATGATCTTTTGGATCAGTGTGCGGTGCCAGTGGATATGGAAGTGTGTGTTAGTGAGATTCTTGGTACAAACAAATGTGTGTTCTAATGAGGTTTTATGTTTGGATCCTGTGTTTGTCCACCCACTCATTATCAAGACCCTCATTCTGTCAGGTTTTTATTGAGCACCTACAATGTGTCCTAGGAGTTAAGACAGCGTTGGAAGGGTACATTCAGTGTATGTCTCTGAGTTGAGCTAAATGAGCATGCCCAAATGCGTGTGTGTGATCGTGTGTATTTGAGTGTGAATGTGGGGGCCATGGCATGCCCCAAACTGCTGACCCCGTGTGCCCTTGGCCCAGGCCCCGGCCTGGCCTTTGTGGTCTACCCACAGGCCATGACCATGCTGCCCCTGTCCCCCTTCTGGTCCTTCCTCTTCTTCTTCATGCTTCTGACCCTCGGCTTGGACAGCCAGGTGAGCCTGGTGCCTGGGCTGGGCTGGGGTGTGGGTGGGGGAGGCAGAACCCTGACCCCAGCCTGCCGCCCCCACCGTCCAGTTCGCCTTTCTGGAGACCATCGTGACAGCTGTGACGGACGAGTTCCCATACTACCTGCGGCCCAAGAAAGCTGTGTTCTCAGGCCTCATCTGTGTGGCCATGTACCTGATGGGGCTGATCCTCACCACTGACGTGAGTAGGACCGCAGGGAGGATGGCGGGAGCTGGGCTCTGGTACCTGTGGCCTGGAGGAGTGGTCACTGAGCCGCCTACGAATCCCCCTTTTGAAGGAAGCTGTCCCTCCCAGGCCCGGTCTCCCCAGGGAGGTCGCTTGGCCTGTTGATGGAAAGTCCTAGTCTGAATGGCCTGGGTCACGCTTCACTCCTGCTTGAGTGACCTCAGTTGACTTCACCTCCCTCAGCCTGTTTCTCCTAACTGGTAAAAGGGGGTTCTACAGAGCAGGGAGGCTCCCTGAGGTGCTGCTGGTACAGGGCTGGGCAGGTGGACGGCGTCACACGGCGTCACAGGGCTCCCCTGGCAGCCTCTTGCCCACTCCTGCCAGGACAGGCAGCTGCAGCGGAGAGCGAGGCTGGGCTGGAGGGGACCCTAGAGCTGTGCCTTGTGTTCCAGGGAGGCATGTACTGGCTGGTCCTTCTGGATGACTACAGTGCCAGCTTTGGACTGATGGTGGTCGTGATCACCACGTGCCTCGCCGTCACCCGGGTGTATGGTGAGAAGGCGGGGGAGGCAGAGTCCAGGCTCCCTGAGGTGGGAGAATAATGGAGTCTACCTGGGGCCCCTATTGCCTGGGTCCCTGGCCCCAAAGGCCAGGACTTCCGGTGGGGATTTGGGGTGGAGGAGGGGCTCTGGCAGTCTCGGGCTACGGGTAGGGCCATTCCTCCTCCTGCCCTCCCCCTGTATGCAGGCATCCAGAGGTTCTGCCGAGACATCCACATGATGCTGGGCTTCAAGCCGGGCCTCTACTTCAGGGCCTGTTGGCTGTTCCTGTCCCCAGCCACACTCCTGGTAACCACGGGTGGGTGGGGGGTGGGTTGGTGGCTGGGGCCCCCAGGCTGAGCACGTGGGTCCCCTCTGTGAACTCAGTCTGGTAGGGCCACCCTGGCCCACAGTGGAGTCTATGGCAGGGCTGCAGGGTGGGCATGAGGATCCTGACCTTGCTCCCCCTGCAAGGCCCCCAACTTTCATAGCTCAGCTGAGCTGAGCTCAACAGTTCTTTGGCAAAATGGGTGGGACTTTCCCAGGCCCAAGGGCCTCAGGGCTGGGGCCTTGGCACTGTGCTTTCTTGGTCTTTTCTTGGTCTTGCTTTCTTGTGCTTCAGAACTGGGCAGTCCCAGGCCTTAGTGTTGGTCAGCTTGGAGCTGGGCTAGCCCCAACCTTGCAAAGGCTTCAGAGATGGACCATCTTAGGATCTGGTATAACTTAGGATACTGCATGGCTTTGGGCTAAGCTCTCTCAGGTCTTGGGATGGTCCTGGGCTGGCCTATTTCAGGCTTTAAGGTAGCTCAGACTGGGTCATCACAAGCCCTGGGGCCCACCTGAGGCCCCTGTGATGCTGGAGGTCACCCACCCTGCAGGCCCTGCTGGTGTATAGCATCGTCAAGTACCAGCCCTCAGAGTATGGCAGCTACCGCTTCCCCGCCTGGGCCGAGCTGCTGGGCATCCTCATGGGCCTGCTGTCCTGCCTCATGATCCCAGCTGGCATGCTAGTGGCTGTGCTTCGAGAGGAGGGCTCTCTCTGGGAGGTGAGTCTGCACCACCCTGTCCACCTTCAGCCTTTCTGACCTGTGCCCTGCCCTGGGCCTTCCACTAGAACAGAAAACACTGGCCCCCACACCGTATCCAGGGACCCACATGAACTGGGCAGATTCAGGGGCTCAAGTTCTGCTCGTGGCTCCTCACAACAAGAGGGGCCTTGGAGGACGGAACTGGACCAGTCCAAGTCCAAGGTCCCCCCATGAGTGGAACAGAGAATGGGGCTTAAACTCAGGTGGCCACCCCAAGTTTTTATGTGGAATTCAGTCAAAAGACCACTGAGAGACTCCAGAGGGTGGGCTGTCACCTTCTCCTGTGCCCAAGAGTCCTGCTGTATCTCATAGGTGGCCAGGGATAGAATGATGGTGTGAGGACTATGGACAGGGCTTTGTGGAGAGACCTAGAAAACAGAGAGAGTACAAGCTGTTGGGCACAGGGGTCAACTAGCCTTGAAAGAGGGAAATAGTGACCTGCTATGGGCCAGCAGGTGAGCTGTTTGACCACAGTAGATTCTGCCCCGCTCTGAGCATCAGGGCACCATCTATGCACTGAGCCCTTCACTTTTGAGGCTGTGGGCTCAGAGTCTCTGGTGGCCAGAGGCTGACATCATGAATTAAGCTTGGAGGGAACCTGAGACCAGACAGAGCCTGGGGACCACCCTCCCAACACCCATCCTACCCCCTCCCTAACCTTGTCCTATAGCAATAGAGCAATAGAGCCAGCTGGTCCTGTCCCATGGGAGCTAATGGTTAAATATTCAGGGATGATGTACCTGTTGTTAAACCATTAATAGCCTGGATTCCATAGAGGTGGAGAATCAGCTACAAAGCAGGCCTTCCATTCCCTCCCGCTCCCCCTCCACCTTCCCTCTCCCTGGGGCCAGTTTACCAGCACAAGACTGCCCCCTGCCACCCTACGACCTTCCGCTGCCCTCAGCTCACCTCCATATCTCTACCTGGAGGAAGGTGCATGCCCTCCACCCCTCAGCAGCAGACAGGTTGTGGCCGCACACCTCAGACCATAGGGGCTCTGCTTCCAATTGCTGTGTGACATGAGCAAATCCTTCCCTTCTCTGAACCTTAGAACCCTCCTCTCCACCACCTTGCTACTAAAGGGGTGGTCTGCAGGGAGTCTGCACAGGGAGGCTGCTCGGGTGCCGGCTTTAGCTCCCAGGAAGCCCAGGGTCCTTAACCCTGCTGATGGGCCCCTGGCAACACTGGGCTCCCTGCAGCCACCACCTCCCGCCCTCCCTGCTGCAGAAGCTGCCCACAAACCCAGTGGAGCATGCGTCCTGCTGGGGCTCCCTGGGAGGGACGGTCAGCACTGCAGAGGAGCCGCTGCCTAGCTCAAGAGTGCTGTCTTCAGAGACCAGGGCTTCCAGCATGGACTCCTTAGGATCAGAATCCTAATTCTGCCATTTGCCCACAGCAAGAATGATCCTAAGCAAGTTACTGCACTTCTCTGAACCTCAGTTTCTCCAGCTTTAAATAAGGACCGCAATAGCTACTCTGTGAGCCCATGGTAGTCAGCATTGTGGGGGCAGAAAAGCAGAATATTCAAAACATGTAGGATGGCGTCAGATTGCCTGGGTTCAAATCCAGGCAACTTAACTGATCTCTCTGAGCATTAACTTTCAGACACATCTATGTGGGTGAAGGGTAAGTATCCCCTCTCAAGAAGATACTGTAAAGATTAAATAAGCTAACTCTTAGCTGGAATATGCCAAATGCTCAATGATAGACCAGGAGTTCCCACAGAGGGTGATTTTGCCCTCAGAGGGCACTTGGCAACATCTGAAGACATTGTCAGTTGAGATGGAGGGGATAAAGGGGACAAGGCCATGCTACTATCGTCAAGCGGGCAGACACCAGTGATGCTGCTAAACATCCTTCCAGGCACTGGGCAGCCCCACCATAGCCCTGGAATTCTCCAGACCAAAATGTCAGTAGCGTTAAGCTGGAGGAACTTGGTCTGGGCACTGGAGTTCAGCTGGGAACATATGTAAATCCCTGCTCTCAAGGTGCCTGTGTTCTAAGGTGGGAGACGAGGCAGGCAGTAAACACACCCTGTAGTAGTAAGTGCTATACTTAAAACAAACACAAAACAAAAATCAGAAACCAGAGTTTCAGGAATAGCCAGGGTGTTCAGAGAGAACTGTGGAAATGGACACAGTGATCCATGTAGGTGTTTAGGGGGAGAGCATTCTAGGGCGATGGGGGTAAAGCCCTGGAAACTGTGAGAAGGTGGGTGCCACTGGAGCAGAGGGAGTGGAGGGAAAGTGGCAGGCACCAAGGTCAGGAAGGTTCATGGGACAGGAGACAGAGCCATGGTAAACACTTTGGCTGTCATTCAAAGTGAGAGGAGAAGCCATTGCAGGTTTCTGAGCAGCAGGGTTCCTGCCTCTCAGTAAGTGTCACCGTGCTGGGAAAGTCAAGTGTGCAAGACCCTGGGCCAAGAGCATTACACACAGTATCTCCCCCAGGACCTGCAGCCTGTGGCTTCCCTTACGGTCAGCGGCCTCCCTTTCCCTGAGGGAGTGGGGCTTTCCTCCCCGGCAGGGCAGGCAGAGGGCTCTGGGAACGGGGTCCGGGAAGGAGGAACTCTGGAATGTCCAGGCTTAGTCATCATCTCAGCAGCACCCTCCTCCCGTGGAAGCAGGGGCTCGGAGAGGGAACGGTTAGAGTCAGGGCGGAGAGAGGCCCGAGGGCCAGCTGTCACCCCCACCTTGTTTCTCCTGTCTCATGGCTTTTTCCTAAAACCTCCAGTTCCTTTGGATTCAGCATTTAAAGGAAGGGACCCGGAGGGGACCTCTCCTGGATCCCTTGGGATGCTCAGGAGAGGACCCTGCCCCGTGATCATAGCAGCCAAACTCTGCATAGCCTTGCCCTGTCCCCAGCACTCTGCCAAATGCGTCATCTCAAAGCCCTCACAATGACCCTGTGAGAGCTCCTGACTCCCAAGTTACAGACGGAAGCTGCAGGCTACCCAGCTTGTAAGCGGCAGAGCAGGGTTCTCATTCAGACATGGAACCACTCCTTTGGGGAAGTAGTAGAGCGCCCCCTCCACCTGGGGTTGTTGCAAGGACTCAACCAGGTGACTGGTCAGGCCTTTGCTGGCTGCCTGGCCGCAGAAAGCACTCAGCATCCGCTGGTGTCTCTACGGCTGTCTCTGCTCTGTCACAGAGGCTCCAGCAGGCCAGCCGGCCAGCCATGGACTGGGGCCCGTCGCTGGAGGAGAACCGGACAGGCATGTACGTGGCCACGCTGGCTGGGAGCCAGTCACCCAAACCATTGATGGTGCACATGCGCAAGTACGGGGGCATCACCAGCTTCGAGAACACGGCCATCGAGGTGGACCGAGAGATTGCCGAGGAGGAGGAGTCCATGATGTGAGGCAGAAGGCAGGCAGACGGGAGGCCCTGTCTGGGGCCACACAGGCCCTCTATGGGGGCTGCAAGAGGCAGCCATGACTGCCGGGAATCTGAGAGGCTACGGGAGATTGCTACAGAGATGCTGGTGTCCCCAGGACAAGTTGAAGTCTCTCCTGTGACCTCTGCCTTGCCTGAACCCTCTGGCCAGCCCCCTATACACACACACACACACACACACACACACACACACACACACCCTTCAAAATGAGAAGACAGTTCAGCCTTCACTTTGCAGATGAACATGTGAGGCCAAGGAGGGTGGGGCCTGGCCCAAGGTCACATGGCCGAGAGGACTTGGCCCCCAGCCTCTGAACTGGTTGCTCCCTTTCTCTTGGGGCAGTGGGCACCACATTCCCATTTCATTCAGGGCCCAGATCCTCCTTTGCTCCAGAAGCTGTCCTTCCACACTTTCACACACCTGAACTTGAACCTGGGGTTCAGGGCCGCCATAGGCATTTGAAGCTCCCAAGTCGCTGGGAGTTAAAGGTCAATAAATTAAGTGAGGAGAAAGATCCCTGTGGGTTCCTGTGTGCAGGCAGGCTCCCTGAAGGGGTGGGAGCCGAGGGTCCTGGAGGAGGAGGAGGTTTGCAGAGAGGGAAAAGAAGGAGGGTCTCAGCCAGAGCTGCCTGGTGGGGCCAGGAGGAAGCTGACCTGCTGGGTTGAAAACCAAGAGTGGCCAGAGATGCTGGGGTTAGGTTCCAAGAGGGCTCAAGTCAGAGCGAAGAACAGCAAGGAGAGAGGAGAGGGACGGGTGGGGGTGGGAGGGGATTTGCATGATACAGAATATCATTTTGGACCTGTGCAGGGTTGGTTAGGGGACAGGGTAGAAGTGGGAGGCTGTGGAGGGCGGGGCGGAGGTGCTGGTGGCCTGAATTAGGACTTGGAGTGGGGGTGGGGAAAGGAAGGCTGTCAGAGAGGCCATACCTTCACCCAGTGGACCTTGTGCCCTGCGCCAGGGAGGACAAACAGCCTCTGCTGTGGAGGTAGTCTCAGTCAGGGGTCTTAGGACCCAGGGCCTCTCTCCCCTCTGCCCCATCCTGGCAGCCCCTACCATCACCTCCAGCTCCAGGCGCTGCTGGAAAATTGGTCTTGGCTGTGAATGTCAAGGGCAACCGAGGGTCTCAGAGATGGTCCCAACAGGATCATCTGGTCCTGATGCCACCCACCCTGCTCCGGGGCAGGCATGAGGGCAGAGGGCAGTCCTGGAGCTGTGGGTCCCTGAGAAATGAGATGCGCAGGCATGCTGAGCCGGTGTCCAGTACATGGCCCTCCCGGGTGCGGCAGGTGTCCCCGGGGGACTATGGCGGGCCCTCCTGCCCTGCCTCTCCTGGCATCTCCCCACCCCTCTGTGTTCTCTTGGTTGATTGTTAATAAATACCAAATGAGGTCATCCTCCTACAGTGTCTCCTTACTGCTGAGAGTGGAAGGCAGGCCGCACAGGGTGCTCCGGCTCCCACTGGACAGATGGGGAAACTGAGGCTCAGCCGCCTCCTTCCCAGCTCTCCTGGCTTCTGACTCTTGCTCTGCCCTTCTCTGTGGCAGTGGTGGGAGTGGCAGGGAGCTGAGGAAGGAAGATGAACTCTGGGCCCTTAGAAGCTACATATGTCACATATGGACAAGCTGAGGTCCTCATCGGGTGAGCCACAGACCAGGGTTCGCAGGCGTCACCCTCCTCAGCTGCCTTCTTTCCCTCTGCAGCATCCCCTCTACCCTTCCTTCAGGTGAGGGCTGGATCTGGAAGACCAGGCTTGGGAGGAGCCTAGGGGGTCCCAGGGAAGAATCTCCTGGTCTGCCCACCCACCGGAGGCAGGGCCTTGCCATAGGAAAGGGCCGCAGGCCTTGCAAATGCAAGGCCCAGGTGTTTGCAAGGCTTTGATTGGGGTGGAAAGGAAGGGGCTGTGCTTTGGGGGATATTAATAAATTTCCCTTTACAAAGGGCCAGGCCCTTCCCATCTCTCTTTGTTTAGGGCTCCAGGTGGGGGAAAGAGACCAATTTGCTAATTTTTTTTTAGGGGGAGGGGTACTGGGGATTGAACTCAGGGGCACTCAACCACTGAGCCACATCTTCAGCCCTGTTTGTTTTGTATTTTATTTAGAGACAGGGTCTCACTGAGTTGCATAGTGTCTCACCATTGCTGAGGCTGGCTTTAAAATCTTGATCCTCCTGCTTTAGTCTCCCAAGCTGCTGGGATCATAAGCGTGCACTACCAGGCCTGGCTCCAGTTTGCTAACTCACTGAGGATGGGGAATGGCCTTCACCAGGCATTCCTCCCTCAGCCAGGGCCAGGCTCCTGGCCGGGACACTGGTGCTCATAGTTCCCAGTCTGAGGATTAAGCACTGGTCTTGGAAGCACTCCTCACCCGGGCGTGAGGTTGGAGGGTCTTGGAGACTCTGGGTCCCACCTGCTTCCCCTCCCCCCTCCCCTTAGCTCCTCTCCCCTCCCCTCCCCTCCCCTCCCTCCCCTCTGTGCCATCCCAGCCCAGGGCCTAAGGTTCCTGTACTGGCCTTCCCTGGCCCCATCCTTATTCTGTCCTGCTTTTTCCATTTCCGATGCTCTCAGACAGCTCTTCCTGCCCCTCCACTCCTCTCTGCCACCCTCCCTATTTCCCAGCTGTGCCCATCCAGGTCCCATCCATCCAGGCCCTTTACTGACCCCAAAAAACCCCACCCAGGCCCTGCCCCTCGAGGGAACTGACTGGGAAAATGTCAGCTCTCTCCGGGGTAGGACCCCAGTGTAGAATTCCTAGAATGTCCTGGCAGGTGGCCATCCCAAGGGCCCAGAGGGCCAGTCAGGGAGCCCAAGCAAGAAAAGTTATTGGTATAAGTGGGAGAAGGACTGGCAACTGACCCTTAGTGGGTGTTGGAGACACAGGAGCAGGTGGGGGGACTCTGGGGCAGTAGGGAAGGCAGCAGGCCTCTATTAAGAAGTCTGGGTCTCTGCCACCAGATCTCCTGGCTTTTTTTTTAAAGTCTGGGATTTTGTAAGAAATTTCGCAATTTGAACCATGGGCAACTCCTTTAAAAGATGGCGAGGAGCACTGCTCCATTCTACCTCCAGTCCTCTCCCGCAGGCTGACTGCTCTGCAGACTTGGGGGTGAGCAGCCCAGAGGACAGAACTTGCCCGAGGTCCCACGTGAGAATGTGCCAGGACTGTCCACCCCCACGTGGTCATCTACTTGGCTCAGTCCATTTCTGTGTCCTTGGGTCCTGAAGTTGGGAGGCTGCACGCATGCCTGCCTGAGTGTGGCAGAGGGTGCTTTGGGGCCCTGCATTTTTCTCAAAGACTTTTCAAGTAAATATTTCCTTAGGTTCCAGGAAACAATGAGAGGAGACTCGACTATCTGTGGTCACTTGCAGCTTCTGATCTCAGAGTGCAAACATGGAGGGAACAAGGGAAGAGGAGGGGGAGGGGCTCCTTACCACTCCATTAGGGACAGCCAGATTCCCAAGGTCAGGCGAGGGTCAACAGACACCAGGAGTCACACTGGTTACATTAGTGTTTGGTCCTCTGCAGGCTCCACCCTCTGGGCTCCCCTCCACTACCCTAACCAGGTTCAAGTCCTCGCTATGCCCTGCTTCCTCCCTGACCCCATGTCTTCCCATCCACCCGCTAGAATCCTAGCCATCCTTTTAGATACCTCCTGAAGACACCTCCTCCATAAGCCTTCCTCAGTTCCCAACCAGCTGTGGACTCCTAGACTCTTCAGGGGGTCTGACTCAGCCCTATATCTGGTGAGTCCCGATGGCCCAACCTTGCCCGGAAAGGGCACTCCCATCTTTCAGAGACAATGCATCTTCTTTCTGTGTAGTTAAGACTCTTTGATCACGTTCCTGGGAACTCAGAGCCCAGGGTGGCAGCAGGAGATTGTGCAGAGGGCTCAGATGGTCTAGCCACAGACCTAGGCCCACTCCCAGCTCCTCCCTCCTGAGCCATGCAATCCAGGCGGGGGTCATTTCACTTGTCTAAACTGTAGTTTCTTCAAAGTTTTCCTTTTCCTCCTCTGTAGCAATCTCATAAGGGAGTGGGATAATGTTCTGGGCCTCTGCACTGGCCTGGGTCTTGGTGGCATAAGACCCACATCTATTAATTGAAGGAACCCATTTGTGTCCATGGTCTCTGCCCCACCACCAACTCTTCCAGAACAGAGACTTGTCACTCACACCTCTGCACGAGGAAGTGGCAAATCAAGCACAGTTCTCTGGTGGCTCTGGGGGCAACCAGCAAAGAGTTAAGACAGTTGCAGTCCCCTCTGAATCTCATGTGACCTGGGTTGTGCAGCCTCAGGGTCTGCGGTGGCCACTTTTTCCAGACTCATTTTTCGCTGGTGGCTCATGGAAAGTTTGGCTCCTTTAGCCCCAGGCCACTCCCTCTGGGGACTGAGGCCTCGCTGATGCTGGTCCTGCCCTAGAAGGGCGTCCAGAACTGCCTGCCCGCCAAGGATCCTCAGCCAACATCCCCCCCAGCTCATCTCCGCCTGACTTCCTGCTGCCCTGGCCACCTCCCACAGGACAGAGCAGCAGCCGGCCCCCTCTGGCCTCCTCCAGCACCCCCATCCTGGATCACTTCTTGTTTGGGAGAAAAAAAGCCTTTTCCCGCTAATGTCCACAGCATCTGTGAGCTGCAACCCCCAGGGAGTTGTCAGGAACTGGAGCCAAAGTGAATTTGGACATCCGCTGGTCAGAGCCAAATCCCGGTTCCTCAGCCCAGCCAAATATGCTACTTCACCTCTCTGAACCCCAGCATCCTCAGATGTAAAGTGGAGAGAATAGTTATCCCCTTGAGGAGATTAAATGAGATAATACTGGACACACAACATAATTTTAAAAGCTTATCAACATGCTTAAAGGCAAAGCTTAGCAGGTAGAAACCCTCTTGGTGGGATGGTTCTCATTAGCCAGCTGTTCCTTGTACAGGTGAAAAAAAAAAACATAGGCTCAGCTCCCACCTCCAACCAGCCCAGGGAGAAGGAGGTCAGGGATGGGCGTTCCTGGATCCAGTGAGCCGACAAGCAAGGCCCAGGGTTTGTCAGCACTGTGGCAAGGCTCTTGTAGCTGGGCTTCAGTGCCCCCTTTTGTAT